AATAAGAGCTATTTATGACAAACCCATAGCCAATATCATACTGAATGGGCAAAAACTGGAAGCATTCCTTTTGAAAACTGACACAAGACAAGGATCCCCTCTCTCACCATTCCTATTCAACATGGTATTGGAAGTTCTGGCCAGGGCAACCAGGCAAGAAAAAGAAATAAAGGGTATTCACTTAGGAAAAGAAGAAGTCAAATTGTCTCTATTTGCGGACAACATGATTGTATACTTAGAAGACCTCATTGTCTTAGCCCAAAATCTCCTTAAGTTGATAAGCAACTTCAGCAGAGTCTCAGGATACAAAATCAATGTGCAAAAATCACAAGCATTCCTATACACCAATAATAAACAGAGTCAAATCATGAGTGAACTCCCATTCACAATTGCTACAAAGAAAATAAAATACCTAGGAATACAACTAACAAGGGATGTGAAAGACCTCTTCAAGGAGAACTACAAACAACTACTCAAGGAAATGAGAGGACACAAACAGATGGAAAAACATTCCATGCTCATGGTTAAGAAGAACCAATATGGTGAAAATGGCCATACTGTCCAAAGTAATTTATAAATCCAATGCTATCCCCATCAAGCTACCAATGACTTTCTTCATAGAATTGGGAAAAGCCACATTAAACTTAATCTGGAACCAAAAAAAGAGACCACATGGCCAAGACAATCCTAAGCAAAAGAAACAAAGCTGGAAGCATCACACTACCTGACTTCAAACTATACTACAAGGCTACAGTAATCAAAACAGCATGGTACTAGTACCAAAACAGAAATATAGACCAATGGAACAGAACAGGGGCCTCAGAAGTAATGCCACACATCTACAATCATCTGATCTTTGACAAACCTCACAAAAACAAGCAATTGAGGAAAGGATTCCCTGTTTAATAAATAGTGTTGGGAAAACTGGCTAGCCATATGCAGAAAGCTAAAACTGGATCCCTTTATCACACCTTATACAAAAATTAACTCCAGAAGGATTAAAGATCTAAACATAAGACCTAACACCATAAAAACCCTAAAAGAAAAAATAGGCAATACCATTCAGGACATAGGCATGGGCAAAGACTTCATGACTAAAACACCAAAAGCAACGGCAAAAAAAGGCCAAAATACACAAATAGAATCTAAATAAACTTAAGAGCTTCTGCACAGCAAAAGAAATTATCATTCAAGTAAACTGGCAACCAACCAACAGAATGGAAAAAAAATCTTTGCAACCTACCCATCTGGCAAAGGGCTAATACCCAGAATCTACAAATAACTTAAATAAATTTACAAGAAAAAAACAAACAAACAACACCATCAAAAAGTGGGCAAAGGATATGAACAGACACTTTTCAAAAGAAGATATTTATGCAGCTAACAAACATATGAAAAAAAGCTCATCATCACCAGTCATTAGAGAAATGCAAATCAAAACTACAACATTAGAGAAATACAAAGCAAAACTACAATGAGATACCAATCTCATGCCAGTTAGAATGATGATCATTAAAAAATCAGGAGACAATAGATGCTGGAGTGGATGTGGAGGAATAGGAATGCTTTTACACTGTTTGTGGGAGTGTAAATTAGTTCAACCATGTGGAAGACAGTGTGGCGATTCCTCAAGGATCTAGAAATAGAAATACCATTTAACCCAGCAATCCCATTACTGGGTATATATATCCAAAGGATTATAAATTGTTCTATTATAAAGACACATGCACATGTATGTTTATTGCAGCACTGTTTACAACAGCAAAGAACTTGGAACCAATCCAAATGCCCATCACAGATAGACTGGATAAAGGAAATGTGGCACAGATACGCCATGGAATACTATGCAGCCATAAAAAATGATGAGTCCATGTCCTTTGCGGGGACATAGACTAAGTTGGAAACCATCATTCTCAACAGACTGACACAAGAACAGAAAACCAAACACCCGCATGTTCTCACTCATAAGTGGGTGTTGAACAATGAGAACACATTGACACAGGGAGGGGAACATCACACGCCAGGGCCTATCAGGGAGTGGGGAGGCTAGGGGAGGCATAGCAGGGGTTGGGGGGATTGGGGAGGGATAACATTAGCAGGAATACCTAATATAGATGATGGGGGGATCGATGCAGCAAAACACCATGGCAAGTGTATGCCTATGTAACAAACCTGCATGTTCTGCACATCTACCCCAGAACTTAAAGTGTAATAAAAAAAAAAAAGTCTCATCTAACTGCTAATAAACTTAATATTTCTTCTGAATAATTGCGTTTTTGTCTTGTGCCTTATGAATCTTAAAAACCCTCTTTGCTGTGGCAATCAGAAATATGAGACACAAATCTGCAGATTTCCTCTAGGAATTGTGCAGTAACTTAATAGTGGGTATCCACCATCCATACTTGTTTACCCTTCATGCTAATTTCATTAGCTACTTCCTAAAACTTTTGACTAATAAAACTCTAAGATCAATTTCAAATTCTTTTTGAATAATTCAGAGGATAAACAGAAGTAAAAATGCTGAAAATTACCCAAGAGTAATCAAGATTCTAAAACTAAGCAAAAAAGCAGGGATGGTCAAGCAAACTAGTCAATTATTTATTAGTCAAGCATTTACTAAGTGGCCATGGGAAACAGAGCTATGGTTCTAGTTAAAAGAAAAATTTTAAATATATTCCATCGTTCCCAATTTCCTAAACTAATCTTTGAAAAGATTCTCTTTTAGAACTTCCTTTTCATTCTTTATACTATAAATATATTTATAACAGGTCTGTAGCCTGTTAGGAACCAGGCCACACAGCAGGAGGTGAGTAGCAGGTGAGCAAGCATTACCTTCTCAGCTCTGCCTCCTGTTAGATCACCAGCAGCACTAGATTCTCGCAGAAGCCTGAACTCTATTGGGAACTGTGCATGCAAAAGATCTAGGTCACAGGCTACTCATGAGAATCTAACTCCTGACGATCTGAGGTGGAAGTTTCATTCTGAACCCCCTCTGCCCTGCTGGTCTGTGGAAAAACTGTCTTCCAGGAAAGACACGAAACACTATTGATTTAGTGATTTAGAACACTAAAAGTAATGAGGCATCTTTCATATCACTAGAGAAAAATTTTAGGGAGTATCATCAAAATAAAAATAACAAAGTAAAGCTTGCTTCCTTAACAGATCAGGAGCCCTGTCATTACAATAACAGATTATCTTGAGCCCTGGGTAGCAACAACAAATTATTAGTAAAAAAGACGTACAGACACTGTCTTCTGTCACTGACAAGCAGGCGTCTTACCCTATTATCAAATGCAGAGTTCTAGGCTGGATAGGGTGGGTATTTTGGCTTTCAGACAAGGCAATGGGTCCCTTATCTGCTCTTTAACAGATGATCTTTCCATTTATTAGCAGTGTATACTAACTACCCCAAAGGTAGATGTTTTAATTTTTGTTTTCTGGAGGGAAAGGGATACAGATAATTTTGTGATAAGTTTTTTATGTCAATTCTACAAATGTAGCTTTAAAAGCAATGTAATTTCAACAACTCACTTTTGTGAAATGGAAAGTTATAGGAGTAAATCAGGGATTCCCTGAATTTTCCAATCCCATTTGTGTATTACCTCTCTAAATGTGAAAGATTTTAAACCAATGATTACTGGGACCATAAATATGTCTAAAAATAAGCCTCCCTTCTAAACCTTTGCAATTCCTTATGGCAGTGGTTCTCAAACCTCAGTCTGTATCAGAATCACCTGGCAAGCTTGTTAAAACACAATCTGTAGGACCCTAACCCCAGTTTCTCATTCAATAGGTCTGGGGTATTGCTTGAGAACTGGCTGGTCTAACAAGTTCCCAGTTGACAGTGATGCTTGTCTGGGAATCACATTTTAAGAACTGCTACACCTTAAGGCAATATTATACATTTAGACTAGTTAAAATATCATCTTGACTAAAAAGTTTATGATAAAGTTTTGGCATCCTACCCAAAACACAAAGAATCACAGAAATGATAAAACCCAATGTTATCAAAGCTTTGAAAAGCAAGTGCCGCAAATGTACTAATTTATACTAATTTAAATACTAGGGCGCAATCAGGTAAAATACTGAAAAGAGACATTAGAAACGATAATAATCCAAAGGGAAAAAAATTTGTATGTGCCAAAACATTCACTCACCACTTATGACTACAAAATGCCAAACTACCGGAGAATAATTATACAAATTATAACAGACTGAACAACTAGAGAATAATTATACAAATTATAACAGACTGAACAAATGGAGTATTATTTAACCATAAAGATGACCAAAAAATGAAGCACGTGCATGTGCGCGCGTGCGTGCACACGTGCACGTGCGCACACACACGTGCACGTGCGCGCACACACACACACACACACACACACACACATACACACACAGAAAATGGAAACAAAGTATGAAAGAAAACAGAACATACATTGGATAGCAGCAATATGTTTAATGATAAAAATCAGAAGTAGCCTCAATAGATGCAATATTTATTTAAGGTGAATAAATGAGCTATTTTAGACATAATATTTTTATAACATAGCAGTCAAAATATTTCACAGAATATTTTAAAGTAGCTTCTGGTCTACAGATTACAGTAATCATCTAACCCACTGAAAATACTTTCAATATTTATGAAGTAAATAGTTAAGAAAAACATTAAAAGTAAAAAAAAAAAAAACATTAAAAATAAAAAAAAAAAAAAAAAAATTACTAAGATAATCTAATTAAAGCTCCTAGATAATGCTTCCTTAAAATTTAAACATGAAGAAGGGAAACTTAGAACTATGTTGGGCACAGCTAGCAAAATCATTTGAACCAAATGTACAGAGTGGTAAAACAGGTATTTTAATTAGAAAAAAAGATTGGGATTCAAAGCCTAGTAACAATCTAAAAAAAAAAAAATCTGTTCAGAAAAACTAATGCGATCATTAAAAATATTTTTTTAAAACTGTTAAAAATAATAACTTTTAAAGTGTATAACTTACTGTTTTGATTCACTGTGACAAACTTCCAAGGTTGGATCATTATAAATAAAAGCAGCCTCTAAGTCATTGATCCTTACTCGGTATATTCTACACTGTTTGCTGTTCAACTTGATTCTATTCAAGTTTGCAACTGTGGGAAATATGGTCAGTTCCACAAATCCCTGTAAAGATAGAGTAACAACTTCATTACAAAGACTGGTATGTTTCAGAATACAGTTTTTATTTTTACCACTTATATACATACTACACTCCAGAGACAAAATCCCAAATAGCTATACACATACATATGTTTTCCAAGTATTTTAACTTCAAACATGATTGTCCTAGTGACTGAATGGGTGTGAGTTATGTAAACTTTATCATCCCGGTGGTTCATATTCACTATCAGTGTAAATTAGGCAGTCAGAAACAAGTAAAAGGCTTGCTACTCTCAAAAACCAGAATTTCTAAGCAGATTAGGACTAAGGGAGGAAGAAAAAAATGATAGCAGAAAGAGAATCAAAATCAGAAGATTGATGAGAGAAAGAACATGGAAGAAAAAAATGGGGTAAAAAATTATACCACTGAAGCTAACAAGTATGAGTTTCTGCTTATGAGGCGGCAAGCGCTACAAAAGATATCAAGGCAAGTAGGGAAAATCTGCTGCTATAGCCAGATCCATGTTCTACTATGTTAGCTGTATGGTATGCAATCTATCTGTATCTGACACAGGAAAACCAGTTAAATACAGACTTTCTTCTTGTACTGAATCAATGGGAAAGACAAACAGATGAATCATGGAATGTATGTCCAGTGTGATTTTAATATCCTGTGTTGAAAACTGATGTACTCAAACATAAAACAAGGGAGGGTATAAACAGTAATATTTCAGGAGCTCCAAAGTGAACAGAAAACATTCAGAGGCTGTAACAGAAATATCTAAGACAAAATTCAGAAAGTAACCACAGAGAACTAGATTATAATGGCTGCTACCGGCCAGGCACAGTGGCTCATCTGAGGTCAGGAGTTCAAGACCAGCCTGGCCAACATAGTGAAACCCCATCTTGTTTAAAAAAAAAAAAAAAGTTTAAAAATGGCTGCTACCATGTACCAGACATTGCATTAGATACTTTCCTGTGTTCCCTCTAATCCTAATACCAACTCTAAGAGACAAGTACTACTTTATACTTTTTACAGAGAAGCTACAAATACTACTATAAAGTATTTTTAAAAAAGAACTTTTCACAGATAACAAAGGTAAAAAAAATTAGGTCACTAAGAAGTAGAGAATTGAGATTCAAACACATCTAAATGATTCCAAATGATTCTCACTATGTCATAATGCCTCTGGGTAGAAAGGTTTTAAATAATATGCAATAATTGTTTTTAGGTAACATTTAGCCCAACTGCCTCAAGAAAGCCTAGAGATTCTGTACCCCTTTGTTCTCAATTCCCAAGTAAGAAGAGGGCCATACACTCTTAAATTAGAACAATCTGCACAGATCTGTGAGTTAGAAATGCAGAAAAACCGAAGTGCAAACGCCAAAATACAGTTGATAAAGATTCTGTGTTTAAAGGTGTAAACTGAGCAGCTGTAGGAATAACCAGAATCCCTTTAATCAGCATATCTGTCATCCAATGACCATTTTAAATTTAAATGAGCTTGGATCAGCTGAAAGATAAGAATTAGAACCAAGACAACTGCAAAACAAAAGATTAAAGAAAGTGCTGTCAACAGCTACTTGGGTGGGACATAAGAACAGCATCTGGCTTTCTAAACTCTGGTAACAATGATAGAATGAAGGAATGCATTTCATGAAGATACGAAAAGCCCAAACTCCTTGCACCGTCAAGTCTCTAACACCACCGGGGACTCTAACCTACACCTGCCTGAAACACTCAGACCCATTAACCTCTACAGGTCTTCAATCTCTGCCACACTTAGCCACTGGTCATCTGCAAGCCCCTCAGGTCGAGCCTCTCACTCCTTGCTGCTTGCTCTCTCCCCACCACTTCACAGATAACCATCCTCCTGGAGCCCACATTCCATTTTCAACATTTCCCCTGTGCCTTTCAACCTTTTCTAAAACTCCCTCTCTACCCTCTAGCCTTAAATGAAATGGCTCCTGAATCCTCCTAGACAAGAAGCTACTTACTCTCCCATTCACTATAAATGAGGGTAGTGGAAAATAGGCATTCTCCTAGTTTCCACTACTGCATCTGGGCGATTTATAGGATTTTAATTTAATGTACACTATAAGGGTAAGGGCAGCATAGTGTCACAGTTAAAAGCAGGTGTTCTGGAGGTAGACTCCCTGTATTCAAATCCTAGCTCTATCACTTAGTAATTGTATGATCTTGAGTTAGTGACCCCAGCTCACTGTGCCTCAGTTTTCTCATCAAAAATAATGACACTACTGGCCTTTTAGTGTTATTATGACAACCGAACAGCCAGGCATGGCTAAAGTGGAAGGATTGCTTGAACCTGGGAGGTTGAGGCTGCAGTGAGCTGTGACTGTGACATTGCATTCCAGTCTGGGTGACAGAGCAAGATCACATCTCAAAAAACAAAACAAAAACAACTGAACAATTTAATACATGGCGCGTACTTAAAATTGTAGCTAGCACCTAGCATATGCTTAATAAATGTTTTTGTTATTCTTTTCCTGCTTATCGTTTATGTTCATGCTAGACAGGTACACCATCCTCTATGCTTCTTATCTATACAACTCCCCAACATTTGCTGAAGGCTCATACACTCGCTTTTTTTTTTTCTTTTTCAGAGACAGGGTCTTGCTCCGTCACCCAGGCTAGAATGCAGCATAGCAACCATGGCTTACTGCAGCTTCAACCTCCCAGGCTCAAGTGATCCTCTCACCTCAGCCTCCAGGCTCAAGTGATCCTCCCATCTCAGCCTCCAGAGTAGCTGGGGACTACAGGCATGCACTACCATGTCTGGTTAATTAAAAACTTTTTTTCAAGAGAGATGGGTCTTATTATGTTCCCCAGGCTGGTCTGGAACTTCTGGCCTCAAGTGATCCTCCAATCTCGGCCTCCCAGAGCACTGGAATTACAGGCATAAACCACTGCACCTGGCCACATACTCTTCTTTTGTAACATGTCTGCCATCACACTAAGTGACTTGAATATAGATGTGTCTGTGCCATCCAATAAGACTGCCTCAAAGTTCCTTGACCTCAATTTCTACAATCTTCAATTCCATCTGGGAAGAATCAAGATCACACTCTGAAAAGCACTTCATCACTGCTTGCAACTGCTCCGATGCTGACATTATGAACTCAACTGTTCGCAATGTCTCTCCTGCCACTCTTCTCATTACTTCTCTCCCAGTCCTCCTGCCCAACTGCCTGAAATCCTCCTGTCCTTGACTTCTTCCAGTTTCTCACCATAATCTTCTTGGCACTCCTGGGGCTACTTTTGTCCCTTCACCCTAAATCCTTAAATTCAATCACTCCTCTGTCAACTACAAATTCTCTTGCCCCTCTGTTTAAGAATGATATATCCGCCGGGCATGGTGGCTCACGCCTGTAATCTCAGCACTTTGAGAGGCCAAGGCAGGTGGATCAAGAGGTCAAGAGATCGAGACCACCTGGCCAACATAGTGAAACCCCGTCTCCACTAAAATACAAAAATTAGCTGGGTGTGGTGGTGCGTGCCTGTAGTCCCAGCTACTTGGGAGGCTGAGGCAGAATTGCTTGAACCCAGGAGGTGGAGATTGCAGTGAGCCAA